CCCAGGGCGATGTCCCCAGTTAGTTCCTGGGGCAGCTGAGGACAGAGAACCTGAAATGACCCTATCCTATAGCCATACTGATGAATATCTTGCATATCACCATAGAACCTTCATCTGGAGATGGATGGAGATAGAGACAGAGACCCACACTGGAGCACCGGACTGAGCTCCCAATGTCCCAAGGAGGAGCAGAAGGAGGGAAAATATGAGCAAAGAAATCAGGACCACGAGGGGTGCACCCACCCATGGAGACAGAGGGGCTGATCTATTGTGAGCTCATAAGTGGTTTTTAAACACAAAGCAGAGAAAACCTGCCTACAAATCACAATCCCATAGAACTAGACAACAATGAGGACCCTAAGAGAGACATACATAGATATAATCAACATGGGAAGTAGTAAAAGACAAGATCTCCTGAGTAAATTGGGAGCATGGGGACCATGGAAGAGGGTTGAAGGGGAGGGGAGAGGGATGGAGGGGGTCAGAGAAAAATGTATATCTCAATAAAATCAATAAATAAATTAAAAAAATTAAATGGGTAGTTGGGATTCGAACTAAGGTCCTCATGCTTGTACAGCAAACCCTTTAGTAACTGAACCAACTCCTTAGCCCCATAACTATTTCTTTTTCTTAGAAGTTATTCTGCTGTTTCTGATTTTCTTCCTAATCTTCTGACTAGCTACAGCTTCAGGTTTTTCACGTATGGCATCCATGATTTAATTTTGGCCAACCTACTTCTGAGGAGTGATGCTTGAGGTAGTTTTGTGCTCATCCTTTTCCATATGATAATCCTCTGGAATCTGCACAACAGCCAAGGATTAGACTGTATTTGTACTGGAGTGGGATGAATGGTTTTCGTCTGCAGTTTTTAATTTCAAAGTCATATCGTTAAGATTCTTGCGAAAAGTCTACCTAAGTCTAGCAAGAGCGAATCTTCAAGAGATCTACAGGACTCCTGGGGGAAATGATAAACGGCATATGCTGATATTGCTCTAGAGTGTGAACGCTGCTGCATCACCAAAGTCTCTCTTTGGGGTGATGCATTTGTTTATTCTTAAGGACTTATTTGCATTCGGCTGGATTCCAGCTCCTAACACAAAGCTCTGAGTGCTCATTAAGAAGCAACGCAATTCTTTTCCTAGTTAGTGAAGCATTCTTAGCTCAATCCCTTCTTGTGGACTCGTTTCACACATGCAGTTGCATATAGGTGGAATTTCTCAGGTTCTTTTGGCTGGGGCATAGACCTTATGTCTTCATTACAACTGTTCATGAGAATTTTCTGGTGATGCCATCAGTCCTCTGGGAAACCCCATCAGTTGCGGAGGATAGTTGGTAGATTTCCAATTTTCTGACATTTTATGAAAAGAATTAAAATTATTCATAGATATAACATATGGACCAGTACCTTGAAATCAGAGTGCTGACATGACGCCGGTACATGACGTCAGAAAAGTCATGATGATGGCTGCCCCATTTGAAAGATGACTTAGCTCAGCTTGCTTTGATCGTGGAGTGTTCTTAGTGTTTCCCACCTACACCAGCTGTTTCCCGTACATTTGGATTCTCTCTGCTTAGGATCTGCATCTCCATCAGGGCTTCAGTAAACTCTTGGGCTTCCCTGGCCCTGTTCATATTAGTTAGACTGGAGTCTCTGTCTATTTACCCATTGAAAGGGATCTCATTTTAATCCAGAGAGAAGATATATATGGCTAACCTTGCCTGAGCACTGCACATGTATTAGTGGACTAATTGCCTTTCTTATTGCTATAGCCCCATATCTGACAAGAGCAAATCAACTCAAGAAGAGATTATTTTGTTTTATGTTGAGGTGGTACAGACAATTGCCAAGAAGCCATGATGACATGCATAGAAGGCAGGGACTCTTATGCCTGCTGTCAGGAGACAGAGAGATATGGATGTTAATGCTCATCTGGCCTCTGTTTTTGCATTTGCACTCATTTTCAGTCTGCAGACCATGAGATGATGCTCCCCAAATTCAGGGTAGGTCCTCCCTCCTCAGTGGTAACTGTCTGGAATCACACATCCTAGATCATTCCAGGTCCAGTCAAGTTGAAAATAATTAATCATTGCATCATGATTTGTGTGTGTCTTCCCCTCCCATTTCCTTCTACCCGCATAGTTGGATGTCTGGGGCACCCAAGATAACTTTTTTCTAAATGCCTGTGGACATTCTAATGACACTGTAAGGGCCATTTCTTTACCAAATGGGGCTGAACATACAGTTTTCCTTATTCTGTAAAGACACCCTACCCTTAGCCAATCTTTCTACCACAGTGTAGAATTCCTTCTACAGGTTCTCGTGAGGTTCCTCACAGTTAACCTCAGTGTGTTTATGATAACCTGCCAGTTCTTTCCATTGCTTTGGGCATTTTAGCAGTAAAACAAATGGCTTGCATTTAAAATATCATTCTTATTCATTTCTGTTAATCCCCCCCAAAGTAATTGATCAGGTTGTTAGGATGTCTGTGGGTAAATTTCTATGAACTATTGTCATGCGGCATACTTCCTCCCCAGTAGCCATTCTGTCAGATGCTTAAACAACCAAGAAAAACTACACTAACAGATGTTTGCACAAGAAATGTTATCTCTAAAACAAATACCAAATACCAAATAATGCTCCCTATTTTGTTTCATTTAATAAAAATAAATACAAATGACAACAACAACAATCATAATCTATTTAGTTTAACTAGGTAAAACCTTTTGACTGACCTATGCAGTTGGCAGAGAGATGTGTGTGTGTGCCAATTCAAGTGTATACATGTATGTAGGTGAATTTCTCTGTGTGTGTGTGTGTGTGCATCTGTGTGTGTGTACATGTGGATGCAAGCCGTTGACCTTGAAGGTTGCTGCTCAGGATGACAGTAGTCTTGTGTTTAGACACAGGTCTCTCACTAGCTTGCATCACTGAACCCACTGGCCAAAAATCCACATGTCTCCACCTCTGCAGCCCTGGGATTAGAAGCAGATGCCAACCCTCCCCTCCAAGCTTTTTATGTGATCTCTGCGAACAAAGCTCAGGTTCTCAGTTTTGGCTACACTTACTTTCCCATCTCCACCGACTTAGAGAATATTCTTGAATCAGATGAAGAAGACAGATACACCACAGAAGTAGACGAAGCACATGGAGTTATCAAGGCACAGCAAGGAAAGCTGGAACAAAGGAAACAATTACCTTAGGGTCATGAATCCCAGAAAGCTCTTCATAGATCTTCTCGCCCACCATGACAGCAGCCAAGTTCGCCGTGTATGTGGAAAGGCAAAACATACAGAAAATGGCCCAAAGATTCATCAGAAATCTTCCAGTCCAGCATTTGGGGGGTTTGATGGCTGCTGTTCTGCCAAACAGAAGGGCATAGCAGACATTCAAGGCAGAAGAGAAGGAGAAGACTTTGTTTCTATTCCGCCCCTTAGGAGTCATACCGAAGGGGCTCTTCCATTCATACAACGTGAGAAAGATGGCAGTGATATGCAGAGCTACGAAAATCCCCAGCCACATGGTCCAGTGCAGTGGCCACATGAAGGCTCCAATTGGAGCTGCCGTGTCTCGAGTCCTCACTAAGATGCCCAAACTGGTTGAGAAGAAAGGGCTGGTGAAATCTATCACCTGGCTTCGTGCAGTATTGATGCTGAAAGAAGTGACCGCCATGTTGGCCGTTCCACTCAGGAGATCGCCAACCAACCCAGTCCAATGACCATTTTTCCAAGCTCCGTACTTTCCATCCCCTACAATGTAGAGGTCGAAGTCAAAGTTCATGTCCTCTGCTAACTGTTCCAGCAGATCAATGCAATACCCATAGCAGCACTTCTTGAATTCGATGGGCACGGTGTCGTTACTGCTATGGAGGCTGCTAAACAGGCTGTCCAATATGGAAGAATCATTAGTCATAGGGTCTAGACAGAGTTGTCCGGCAGGGCATAAGCCTTCATCATCTACTTCTCTTGTGAAGACGAATGGGTGTTCAATCAAGGTCACCACTCTCAAGTGTAGCTTATTTTGGTGCTGGTAGTGGGTTTTGTGCCTCTGGGCTTGCTCTGGCCATATTCCAGAGTCCATGACAATCCTCCCCCCTTGCCAGCTGCCTAGGCGAGTCCACATGGGCTTTTCCATAGGGTCATGCTGCAAAGTCCAGATGAAAAAATTGTTTTCCGAGCTGATGATGGTAGACCCTTTTACTTTGATGGAACCACTGAGACCTCTGAAAGTGGTGTTGGCTAAAAACCTGGTAAAGAGGATCAAAGGTCAAAAGTAAGAAAGTGAGGCAACGCCACAGTCGAGAACAAGTGCTGATTCTTGCTTCTCTGTCTTAACCAAAAGAAGTTCTATTAAAATATTTATTGTAATTTTTAGACTATACTCTAATTACATCACTTTCCTCTTTTCTTTTTTCCCTCCAAACCGTATTTTATACTCTCTTTAAAATTCATAACCTCTTTTTCATTAATTGTTGTCTGAATAATAACTTGCTCACTCTGGATACTGTCACTTGTATATATGTTTTCAGGTCTGACCATTTGGTATTAGAAAACCAATTGGTGTACTCTTCTCTGGGGAGTCCTACTTTTAAAGCTTTCTTAAGAATGATAGAGACTTTCTGGAAGTGCTCTATTTCATTGAACACATAAGACCTCACCTTCAGACTCCATTTTTCATAAGGTACTTAACAACTGGTTTTACTCCAAATATTTCAGTTGATTGTTAAAAGTAGCACTCTTGCTATTCTATATTTTCACGGGATTCCAACTTATGGTGGTTCTGGACATCTTCGACATTCAGTTCTACTGTTTATAATTTTTTGATTGTGATGAAATCTGTTCGATGAATTTTTGGTATAGAAATGAATTTTAATAATTCTGTATTTTCTTTCCTAATTGCTTAAAATTGCATTCATAACATTAGGGAATAGCCATCTTTTGTATAATGTTTTTCCTTGTAGAGTAGAAAATTAGCATATCTCTCCTCATGAGGCCAATCAGAGATGCATGCTGGATATTATCCACAGAACAAAGAAAAGGATGATAAATAAACTTGCTGTTCCCAGGACAGCCTTAGGCTACCCTCCCTCATCATCAGATAAAAACAGCTGGCCCTGACTCCAGAGCAAGAATCTCCTAGAAGTCAAAGCAAGGAAAATGAGTAAATGTTACATGATTTCTTGCCCTGTGAACTTGAGCGCTTTCCATTTTGACACTGACAAGACAGGAAAATGCTTGGTCACAGCATCTGTTTCCCTTGAGCAGGAAGAAGAGATAAGAGCTAACACATACACTTGTTTCAGAATAAAAGCTCAGGCTTTGGTGTCAGATGGACCTGCAATTGAATCTTCATCCAGTTATCCAACAGTAGCGACCCTGAGCATGCTACCTGACTCAAAGATTTAATTTCATCCTTAAGAAAAAAAAAAACCAGGGAAACTAATCCTTGTTGCATTACAAGGTTTTCAAACTGTGCATGTAATATATAACATACCTTCCAATGTAGAGCTGTTATTGGCTGGAGACCAAACCCTGCCTTAGCATAAACCCTTAGCAGTGGCTTCAGCATAGTTGCAATGAAAAGGAATTAAATTAAAATGTGGGTGCATCATAGTAAGTGTTTTGAGGAACCCAGTGACATAGGTCTAGCTGTCCAGAGAAACACATTCATGTATTGCCTGTCACATGTATTATTCCATAATTTACAAATGCAAAAGAAGCCTTCCTAAGAAGTCGTGCTGCTGCAGAGGGGATATAGAGAAATCGGAAAGTGTGAAATATGTCCTAATTTTCCTTAGTGATAAGTGAGAATCACATTTTAAGATGCTACTGTCACAGAAGGCAACGACAGGATTTGTTGTGGTAGATTGCATGTAATGGCAATCACTCATGTTAATGCGCCCCAGTGGGCTCTGTGACTTAAATAAATTCTATTTCTCAGCAAGTAATGAAGTCTTAGCTATCTTAGACTGTAAAACAGTTTTCTACTTCAGAGAAGCAGGGACCCAAATCATTAAAATCATATATAGGTTAATCAATTGACAATTCCCTCGGTGCCATAAAAGAACAAGTACGTTGGTGCATCTAATGAGATATCTACCTTTAGATTTCTTAAAACATGCACACACATGGCCTGAAAAGCCTGACAGTAAATGGGCAAGCTCATTTTGCCAATTTCGTGGTCACAGAAACATCAAATGAAAGTTGTAGATAGAATAGAAAGAACTCTTCGCTAGTTTGAGAGTATGTGGGGGTTAATTACGATAGAGTTTCAACTGGCAGGACCCAGGTCAGATTTCCTCTGATTAAATAGGTATTTGAATCCTTCCACTCAAAGGCATTAGAAGTCTGTAGAAATCTTTCGTAGATCGCATGGTGTCTACATTCTGGGAAAGCTATTCTTCATTATCAGTGTGAATGTTTAACATGGCCGTGGCTGAAGGACAATGCCCAGTGGCTCTGCAGAAGGCATTTGTCAAAAAAAAAAAAAAAATCACTCAATCACTCAGGATTCTAATATCTCCAACCACTGTTCTCCAGAAAGACATTTTACTGTGAAACTGTTTTGGAGGCATTCTGTTAGAGAATTTGTACTCATGACAGATCATTTGCGTCTATTTTATTTTACATTTTATAGTGAGGATAAATGAAAACCATCTCATCAACAGCTTTCCATTACGGTCATCCTCACATGTGTTCTTTGTGAAGGAATGACAAAGGGTAGCTGAGTCTGGATTTTCACCCTATTACCTAGAAGATTAAAAGGCTGAAATCTCATTTTTGCTTCAATCGGATTCCGCCAAGCTCTTATGTACTTGCCCCGGACTCTTCTTGGATGAACAAGAAAGAAAAAGATAGTGGGGAATCATTTTGTTGGCAAGATGAATGAATACGAACACCTGGCACTGTGCTTGGCACTTACGGCTGCTGAGATGAAAACCTCATTGGCGTAAAAAGCTCAAGGAGTAGATGTAGGGGAAAGAAAACGAGTGAGTGATCCAAGGCCCTATAATCTGCAAGGGTTTCCCTAACCTTGGACATTCTGACCCAGGGTACCAAGGAAGGAATCTTGGAGGAGTTAGAGCAGGGTTGAGTCTGCAACGAGAAATTATGCTTTTCCAGGAAGAGAAGCTGAGAAGTGGCACAGTTATCAGGGTGAGACACATGAACACAATCTAGAAACAAGGGCACAAGAGATACAGTGGTAAGAAGAAAGCCCAGAGATAAAGGGTGGAAAACGTATTACGTCAGCTCTGAGGCCTCAGTGAAGGCCCACTGAGGGGATGTTGTTTGGCAGATACATGATTCTTTTCCTTTGCCTAGGTATCTGAGTGGTGTTTTGGAAGGATGAAGATGACCCAAATTTCTATGTGAAGATAAATGGTTTTTCCTTCTTTTCCTCCAATCTTATCATCCCCCCTCTGTTTTTCCATAAGTAGCAGATGCAAAGAGGTGAGAGATCCTTCATCTTCATAAAGAAGATTTTAAGAGGACAAGTGCTCAGGGGTTCCATTTAGTTTATAAACCATAGTTAGAATACACAGAACTCAGTCCGACCAGAGGCCATATAGAGCAAACTTGAAGCTGACTAGAAGTGCATCACAATCCTGGAGAACCTTATGTCTATAAACACCAGGAAAACATAATCTTAAGGTTGTTCCATAGAATTGAGAGCTTGCATCCAAAGCAGTAACAGCATCAAGATTTTCTGTGTTTATCCATCAACTGCTCCAACCTCGATCAGCACTCTCTTCACATCTTCCAGATTCAAAAGTGTTACAAACAAAAGAGCTAGAAAATATAAGAGGGAGTAGTAAACACAGCAATCTGATTGGCATGTGGAGTAGAAAACATTAAAATTTAATGTAGGGAAAACAGGTGGCATATAGAATACAGAGGTTCACACACCTGCTCTGTAAGATTGAATTTTATTTTAATAATAAAACAAGAGCCTCAGAGGCATCTGAGCAGTTTAATGACATAGCCAGAGGCCTTTGATAGTTATATTGACTTGGAAACAAGTAAAATGTGTACAAGAAAGAATTGATGATGACCCCAAGACCATGTGGAAAAATATTACAATGTATTTGAACTTGTTGGGTAAACAGATTGATGCCACTTGAATCTCACTGTAGAAGCAAGAACCTAGTTTAGCTTTGTGATTTGCACTTTTTTTTTTTTTAAGGAAAGAAGTTTAAGTCGGGTGATGGTGGTGCACACCTTTAATCCCAACACTTGGGAGGCAGAGGCAGGCAGATTTCAGTGAGTTCGAGGCCAGCCTGGTCTAGAAGAACTAGACCCAGGACAGGCTCCAAAAACAACAGAGAAACACTGTCTTGAAAACCAAAAAGGAAAAAAAAAAAGAAAAGAAAAAGGAATAAGTGTTGATTTGCAAGGCAACATAAAGAAAATGTGCACTTTGAAAGTTACACTAAACTGTCTTTGAGACAGCTCACCAGATCAGTGTTTAATATATCTGTGCTCTATTTTAGAAGCCATATTTGCCTACAAAATCTTGATATGTTAACTAAAAGACATTCTTATTCATTAAACAAATGAAGAGGTATGCTTTAAAAGATGACACATCAGTCGTTCAAGCATTTACTTAGTCACTAATAGTCACTAGAGGTAAGGCACTGTTCTAGTTCTAGATGCTTGGTGCATAGGAGAGATAATAGTTATGTACTTAGACTCTACAGAAAGAGAAAGAATCAAGCATTTCAGAAAAGTAGTAAGATGTGGGATGTTTTAGAGTACTTGTTGCAAAAGAGGGAAAGTAAAGTTGGCCACGACTTCTTTCTGAGAAGGTGACAGCTTATTAAAAATCAAGTCCCACATCACTGATACGGGTGTGTGTTTGGGATCTTTGAGGGCAGGTAGTTGAAGATGAAATCAGAGAAAATTTATAGAACAGCGAGTTTGCAAAAAAATTAGTTGTTTCAGGTCATTACTAGGACTTTATTTTGTCTTTATGTGAGATTCACATAGCTTAGTATAGTTTGAACGTAAAAGTGCGATGACTTGCCTTCTGTCCTGATAGGATGGCCATGTTGCTGAATGATAATTAACTAAAATGCCCAGGGCAGAAACAATACTCTAGGAGCCCATTCTACAGACAAAAGATGGTGTGGGCTGAGGGGTAACTGTAGTAGGTGCAGTCTTAGATCTCAATATGTTCTTTTGCTGGAATGGACAGATTTTCTGATTATGTAGACATTGTTTCTGAGAGAAAGGAGACTCAAGGATG